CAGCTGTCTCACTATCTGCATCATCTGTGATGTCCGTTGGATCACAGCCTGATAGGTATTCTTTGTGACACTTTTCATCCCAGTATCTTCCTTTTTTCTTAGCGTACCTCGTATTCCAGTCTTGGCTCTGGAGACAGTGTTCCCACGACAGTGTCAACGTCAAAACGTCTAGCTTTCGACTCTCCTGTTCGATTTGCTTCCACAGTAACCACATCAGCTGATACTATCTCAGGGGTTAGGTTATCGTTGTTGAGGGGAAAATTTTTAGGGAATTCCCTCAACTGTGGGTTCTGTGGGAAAAAGAGGTCTCATCTGTCTTACTTGTAGTCTTCATCTGCAACACCTCTACCCGCTGGCTCGCTGTCTGCGCAAGTGCCGAAATTGTTCAAATCAAGTGTGGAGCCGGCATTCCCTTCAACACAGGCTACTTCCACACCACCTCCTGAGGAACCACAAGTGAAACAGACAGCAGCTTCCACTGAAAGTGCGCCAACTGGCCAGGTTTGATTTTTTACGTTCTTCCTTTTGCATGTAACATTTGAGCTTTGATGTCATAAATATGATTTCTTCCACAGGTTTTTGAAAAGTAGCATTCCAGGTGCCATCCTCACCTATCACGTACTCTTTAGCAACATCCTCTGCGGCTAGAATCACCCCTCATCAGTCATTGTTTGGAAAATCAGCGCCTGTGGCTGCTGCTAATGCAAACGTGAGTTCTTAGATGTTCCTTTTTCCATTTGTTCCGTGTTTGGTAATGTTCATTGACTTTTATAGAGTCTGTAGGTCTTATAGCGCACTTTGTACTTTGGCAACTAAAGCCGTATTTGCAGGCATCTGTCATTTCTTAAGTGTAAGTTAAACTGTGCAAATGGTCAGTTTTACGCTTGCCTTTTATGGACTAAACATGAAACGCAGTCAATCTGCACATTCAAATTTTCTATACTAAAAGAAGTTAACCTATTCAATTACACATGCCGAGAGAGTATTGATTTAACCTTGAAACATAAATATATAAAACACTATGTTTTATAGCCTTAAGTTTGACAGCATTTTGAGGTGTAGACATCAATTTTGGTTTTCCTCAGTTTTGGCGGTATAAGCGCAAATGAGATTGTTTGTTTCAACCTTTGTTATGTAACTGCATGTGGTAATTTTAAGGTGAGCACGTCAAGTGCGAATAGCACAACCGCGGAAGGCAAGGGAAGTTGTGGATCAGTAGTAATCGAAGCAGAGCAGAGCAGCCAGGTAATTTCAACTATACGCGAAAGTTTTGACATGCGTTAGAAGTTAAGTTCCTTATCAGGTTAGCGGAAGTGCTGAGGTGCGAGGTGTGGAACCAAATGACGACGATGGTGCTGGACATAATGGTGGGAAATTTATCTTTTGTTAATGCATTCTGCATGTAAGTGTGCTACAGATTCCGCGGGGGAATCTCGCGATAGCGGCAGTGGGATGCCGGTATCATCATCAGATGGTAGAAGAAAGAGATCAGCAACGAATGAGACATCTAGCTGCGAGTCTAAACGTCATCGTGATAGTCCAAGTGAGATTGTCACCAGCAGTGAAGAGCGTCGCGACTTGGGTGATTAATGAAGTTTACTTTGTAGTTTTTGCATGCTAATTT